GACTTTTGGTTACTGCTACATTTTTTTGTTCAGGCTTGAGCTATGCAAGTGCAGAGAGAAGAGAAAGAAGCAGAGAGAGACAGACTTTGGAGTGTGCTCTTGCTTCATGAGCTGCCTTAGTTTATCCATATGGACAAAGAAATACTATTTTAAATCTCTTATAAAAGGACATTATGTGAGTTGATGCAACTGATCACATTGTGCATGTGTTGTTCTGAACTACGAAGAGTAGACTACTTGTTCTTTACTGTTCACTTGTGTGGCATATTTTCTTTTTCTGGTAAGGCAGTGTATGGGCTAATCAAACGTGAACTACACGTGGTCTATTTGACATTACACCACAATACTGTATAGTTTTGGTTTTCATGGTATATTGTGTAGTCAGTGGTCAAGTGGTATATATTGTATAGAATGGTTTTAATTGGATATTGTGTTGTGGTCCAATGGTATCTCATTTAGAATTATTTTGATGGACTTAATTATTTGTTTTTAATGGTCCCATGCCGAATATTGTTTTAGTGTTTGTATGTTTCAGGTTGCATCTTGCATTGTTTTTGATATGGTTTCCCGCTTTTGAGTCTCTTTCAAGAGAGAAAAAGCAGGATATTAATATAATTCTAATAATAACAATAACTATTATAATGTAGTTGGGGAAAATAAAGGGTAGTGGTCGATTTAGTTATTGCACCTTGGAAAAAGTGCCCCAGAAAGTTTACAAAGGTGCAATATCCTTTCACATCTAAGAGAAAAAAAAGTGTAATGCGAAGAAGATGAAGAAGAAGTAGTAATAGTAGTAGTAGTAATAGTAATATAATGATATAATATACCTAATGATGAAACTGCAAGTCGCTTCTGGTGTGAGAAAATTGGTCATCTGCAAAGACATTGCCCAGGGGACCCCCGCATGTGTTACCATCCTGTGGGAGACTTCTCTCATGTCCCTGCATAGGAAGCTGGAGCTGACAGATGGGAGCTCGCCTTTCAGTCAGCAGTTCTGGCAACCTTTCAGTCAGCAGTTATGCCGGCACAAGGGTTTAACCCATTGTGTCACTGGAAGCTCCATATATGATGATTATGATGGTGATGATGATGATGATGATGATGATGATGATGATGATGATGAAGGTGATGATATTACAAGCTATGGCATAGAGACTCTTCCTATTTTTCATATTGTGTTCCTGCATAGAGGGGGGTCAGACCTCCCTTTGGGGTCATCATCCACTTCTGTTATTGTTTTTGCAATGAATTACAGCTGTTGAGTGCATTTCTGCCCTAGATTAGTCTATAGCAGGCATGGGCAAACTTTAGCCCTCCAGGTGTTTTGGACTTCAACTCCCACAATTCCTAACAGCCTACCGGCTGTTAGGAATTGTGGGAGTTGTAGTCCAAAACACCTGGAGCCCCGAAGTTTGCACATGCCTGCCATTGACCAATCTTGGGCAGAAATGCATGAATTATGGGACTTGTAGTCCAAAACACCTGGAGAGCCAAAGTTTGCCCACGCCTAGTCTATAGCTTTCATTAGCCATGCTGATTGGAGGAATATGGTATTTGTAGTCTATTCAAAGGGAGCTCTTCCAGGGCCTGTCCTTGGAAACCCTCTGCAGACAATATAAAAGGAAACTGAAGTTACGTTTTCCTGTTTTTTATTATTTCTCCATCTCTTTCTCTTCTTTTAAACATCTTAACAAAGCACAGCGGGAAAACCCTTTTTCCCTCTTTAAAAAAAGTTTCTCTTGATGTTTTCTTATCATTAATTTAAGCGAGGAAAGAGAAGAGCGGAGCACAGCGAGGAGAAAGAAGCATTTGCATGCGATTTGCATTTTGGGAGGAAAATAAATCAGGCTGGTTATGGAGGAAGCAGGAGGCACATTGGACTCGGATTCTTCCTCTGCTTTACCTGAGAATAAGAAACATTGGATTCAATGGAATGGGCCCCTAAAATGTATAGGTCCACACTCTTTGCTATAACCCTTGAAGATGTTCCTTTGAGGAACTACAACTCCCAGAATGACACAATGGCCATGCTGAGAGATGCCGAAATCCCCATGAGTACCTTTTCCAAGCTAGCCAATAGTGCAGAATGTTGGGACCTATAGTCCGACAAAGGGTGTTAAGTACAACTTGCCTCATAGTTGAGTGAAAGCCATTTGACACCACTTAGGCTGTTATGGAGTCCTGGGAGTTGTAGTTTACCATGGCCCCAGTATAAGGATTGTAAAACTACAACTCTAAGGATCCCATACCATTGAGCAATTGGGAGACAAAGTGGTCTCAAACAGCATTCATTTCACAGTGTGGACACCTTCTCAGGCTTTGTTTTTAAGGTCATAGAAGACAAATAATTTTGCATCTATGGTTCCTCCCATTGGTGATAAGTGAGTTCAGCTCCGGGTTTGGTGGCCCAGCGTATCTAGATTCCCAGAAAGCCGAATGATACACAGGCAAGTTGAAGGCAAAAGCAGAAGCATTTCTTCTCAATGGCCAAAGAGGATGTCTGTGGATAAAGAACTCTGAAGTACCAACATACCACAATTGCAAACACAGAGCATTTTTATTTCATTTGACAGCTATTCAAGAAACCCGTGCCAGTTCCTGATTGACTCAAAAACTGTCCAGCTAGGGTCCATGCCCTGGTTGGCTCTTCCATGGTGGCGGGGAATTTAATAAACAGTCATTATAGCATTTGAAGTGTCAGTCCGTTTATTGATCCATGTTGGACACCTCGCCCTCAAATCACCAACAGAGCAGTCGTACAATCCTAGGCCAGCCAATTAATTCTTGGTAAAAACAAGAGAAGAAGCCAGATAACAGTCCTGAGCCAATACAATTCCCGAACTTCTGAGCAATGAAACCGTGTCCACGAATCCAAAATCACAAAGCAATCCAGAGTTCCAACAGTGTTCACAAGTCTCTAGAGCACGAAGTCTAAGGCTTGTTTACAAACGGTGCAGCCAGCAATCAGGCAGCACGATTGCTGTCTGGCTGAATGCCTCTGCTGGGACTTTTCTATTTTCTGCAAAGGAAGGCATCATTCACTTTTCTTCCTCCTGATCCACAGAAGCCTCTTGAGTTTGGCCAGTAGGCTCAGTATTTGCTGCTTTTGGTGGTGGTTAGAGGAGTTGCTATTCCTGGCTGGGCTCTTATCTCAACAGCCAAACCCTCCTCCATGCTATCCATGACAATCTGCCTCTGGAAAGGAAGGCGGTCTGGCATTGGGTTCATGATACATAGAGGTAGTCCAAAGTACACAATAGAGCAGTGGTTCACAACCTTTTTTTGAGCAGAGACCACTTGATCAGGGACCACTTTGATCAGGGATCACGTTGACCAGGAACAACTTGAACAGGGACCACGTTGACCAGGGATCACTTTGAACAGAGACCAATTGATCAGAGACTACTTGAACAGAGACCACTTGAACAGGGACCAGCAACCACTTTGATCAGGGACTGTTTGAACAGGGACCACTTGAACAGGAGCCACTTTGATCAGGGATCAGTTGAACAGGGACCAGTTGAACAGGGACCACGTTGACCAGGGACCACTTGAACAGTGACCACTTGAACAGAAACCACTTGAAAAGGGGTCACGTTGACCAGGGACCACTTAAACAGGGACCATGTTGACCAAGGACCACTTGGAAAAGGGACCACTTTAATCAGGGACCACTTGAACAGGGACCAGGAACCACTTTGATCAGAGACCGCTTGAACAGGGGCCACTTTGATCAGGGATCAGTTGAACAGGAACCGGTTGAACAGGGACCACGTTGACCAGGGACCACTTGGAACAGGGACAACTTGAACAGTGACCACTTGAACAGGGACCACTTGGAACAGGGACCATTTTGATCAGAGACTACTTGAACAGGGACCACTTTGATCAGGAATCAGTTGAACTGGAACCAGTTGAACAGGGACCACGTTGACCAGGGACCACTTGGAGCAGTGACCACTTGATCAGGGGCCACTTTGACCAGGGACCACTTGAACAGGGGCCACTTTGACCAGGGACCACTTTGACCAGGGACTACTTTGACCAGGGAGCACTCTCCAACATTAGTACCAAAAGGGTTACGAATCAGTTTTGGTCAATTTATTGTCAAGGGCATTCATGGCCGGAATCACTGGGTTGTTGTGTGTTTTCCCGGCTGCATGGCTATGTTCCAGAAGCATTCTCTCCTGACATTTTGCCTGCATCTATGGCAAGTATCCTCAGAGGCTGTGAGTTTTTTGTCAACTTTAGATTGGGTTTGGTTATTTGGGGTGCTGATTCAGAAAATTGCATTGGATAAACCTCATCAGCTCTAATTTCTGATACAGAACATATACCAACCAATAGTCGCCCTCTGCTTACCCACAAAAAAGCATATTTAATAATCTAGAACTGATGTGGTAGTAGTCATCTTTTGTGGGTAGTCATCCTCTCCCCTCCCGACATCCGTGTTGCCTTGGCACTGTAAGAGGGTTTCGCAAGACCAGTTGCTCTCATTGCTGCATGGTTTCAAGGGAATGGTAAAGTAATGGTGAGTCCAGGGACCATATTTTCATCCTTGCAGACCACTGATGGTCCATGGACACAAGTTGGGAACAACTGCAATAGAGGTTTGAAGGTGGTGACCATCTCAATGGGTGTTGCACGAGTGAGGCTGGCTCAAGCCATGGGAGAAGGGTCGTTGCCATAAATAGCCCCAATCGTATTGGGAAGAAAACAGGAAACGGATCCCATAGCTCTGCCACAAGTGCATTGTCTGCTCCCCTCGTGTCTCCCAGTTCATTGTGAGGAGATAGTTTCCTGGGTATTCCAAAGGTAGTTCGTGAAAGGGGTTACTAGAAGACAAAGGCACTCACTCATTGTATGTCCCAATGGAGCTGCATCTTTCTATTTATCCATTTTATGTTTTATAATTTGGGAGTCTTGATATCATTGATTTCCTCCCCTTTGTGATCAATTCCTCCATGGTTGATGCCCTTAACTCTGTGTTCCCACCTGGTTTGAGCACGTCAGCATGCTGGTGATCCTCCTGAACTGCGTCACTTTGGGGATGTTCCAGCCTTGCCAGGACACCAAGTGCAAGTCGGAGCGGTGCACCATCTTGGAGGTAAGCGAGCATCAACACCCTCTTTCTTCCCTTCTCCAAATCCCCATAGTTACTGTTGCCTTGGACTTCAAAGCCCGGCATCCCTATCATAGACCAGAATCAGTCTGGCAAGATCCGGAGAACTATACATCCCTCTGAAGGACTTCAAGGACTTGGATACAGCTCCTCCTGGGTGCATCTACACTGTAGAATTAATACGGTCATTTCTCAAGGATTGTAGCATCTCTGCAGTACAATGAATGCAGTTTTATGCCATTTTAACTACCCTGGCTCATTGCTATGGAATCCTGGGAGGTAGTTTGGTGTAGTTTGGCCTTGGCAAACCTCAGCTCCCATTTCCCCATAGCATTCAGCCATCATGGCAGTTCAAGTGGCACAAACATGCCTTCAACCTCAGTGTCGACACACCTTTAGCATCAGGGATATTTCATTTGACAATGACGGATCATTCTGTGTATTTTTATTGGCTTTTCCAATTATATGATATGGCAGTGGACAGGATATTAAATATGAGATCTTGATCGGTGGAAATAAAATATAGAATTTGTATTCAATGGAAGGCTTATCCAAGCTTTTGGAAAGGCGGAGAGGACACGATCTAATGCCATTCGGTACCACTTTCACTATCATGGCTAAATGCTAGGGAATGATGGGAGTTGTAGTTTCACAAAGTCTTGAGATTTCTCTGCCAAACAGTACCAAACTACCACTCTCGGGATCCCATAGGCACTCACTCACTGTACGTCCCAATGATCTGTAGCAAAGTAGCGTTAAACTGCATTCATTCCACAGTGTTGATCAGTGGTTGCAAAGCCACGTCTGGCCACTCAAGTTTCTAAAAGGTTCGCCATCACTGATGTAGATGCACCTGTAGATGGTGATGGACTCTACTTATTTATAATAATATATAATAATAACACTTTATTTATATCCTGTCCTTCTCCCCGAGGGAACTCAGAGAGGATTACAGCATATAAACAGACACAGGCAGAAATACACAGACAAAGGCAAAGGCTTCTCCTTTCATTTCCGGCTTTTGGAGGTGGTGTTCATCTCCGGCTCTGGGGAAGGTGCTCTGCAATGTCCGTAGACACCTCCTGGTTGTGTGGCCAGCATGACTGCATGGAGCGTCTTTTTGCCCTTTCCCAACGAGGCTGTACCTATTGATCTACTCACATTTGCGGGTTTTCTAACTGCTAGGTTGGCAGGAACTAGAGCTAACAGTGAGAAGCCCTAGCTCCCTGTCCCACAGATTTGAACTGCCAACCTTGAGGTCAGCAGTTCTACAGCACAAGGGTTTAACCATTGTGTTGGGAATTGGAGATGTTAGGCTCACAAAATAACCCTTACTTGGGGTGATTCCACCATAAATATAACAGAGTGCTTGAATCAGGCTTCATAACCAGCAAAAACTTACGTGTGGTGAGTCAGGATCCGCTTCCATTCAGTGGGATGGCACAGGATTACAGAGTCACAACTTTAAGTTCAAAATATTTATTGAAGTATTGTGAACCTCCCTGAGTCCCCTTCGGGGTTAAGAAGGGCGGTATACAAATATCACAATTAATTAATTAAAATAAATCCATTCTAGATAGAACAGGGTCTTGGAGCTAACTAGCTTGCTAAGCTTATCTTCTAAGGAAGGTTTGTTGTTCATTCGTTCAGTCATTTCCGACTCTTCGTGACCTCATGGACCAGTCCACGCCAGAGCTTCCTGTCGGCCGTCACCACCCCCAGCTCCAAGGTCAATCCAGTCACTTCAAGGATGCCATCCATCCATCTTGCCCTTGGTCGGCCTCTCTTCCTTTTTCCTTCCATTTTCCCCAGCATAATTGTCTTCTCTAAGCTTTCCTTTCTTCTCATGATGTGGCCTAAGGCCTAAATAACCCTAAGGAAGGTAAAAGGATAAAATATCAAATGTATCCATGCAGCTACATTTTGCCTGGAGAAAGGCAAAATGCGTCCTTACTGGAAGGGAGACAAAGGCAGAGAGAGAGCGCAATGGAGAATGATCACATTTCCAACAACCCAGGGCAATAAAAATACCTTTAAAGAGGAAGTGGCCTCATCCTTCATAGAGATTCCATTGCTACATCTTCAAAGGGAGAGGAGATATAGTGGTAAGCAAGAAGAGTAAAGACAAAGCCCCTTCTGGGAAAAGCATGCATGGGAATGTGGGAGGAGGAACCCCTCACTCTAATCCTATATCTAAGTCTAGCTACTCATTGAGGACTGGAGACTTGTGCAGTCCAGGGATGAAACCCAACACAATGTGTCACCACAGCCTTGGTGAAAGTCTTTCAGCATAGGGTTGTTGTAGGTTTTTGGCCATGGTCTAGAGGCATTCTCTCCTGACGTTTAGCCTGAATCTATGGCAAGCATCCTCAGATCTGTTGGAACTAGGAAAAAGGGTTTATATGTCTGTGGAATGATCAGGGTGAGACAAAGGGTTCTTGTCTGCTGGAGCTAGGTGTGAATGTTTCAACTGACCATCTTGATTAGCATATAATGGCCTGACAGTGCCTAGAGCAAACTTTTGTTGAGAGGTGATTAGATGTCCTTGTTTGTTTCAGCATAGTTTGGAAGGACATCTTTTAGGAGTGCTTTACTTGTGCATTCCTGCATGGCAGAAGGAGGCTAGACTATATGACTTTCAGGGTCTTTTCTAATTCTAGTGGATAATGGGGTATAGACGTGACTTCTTTGGAGGTCTTTCAGCAGACGTTAGATGGTTCTGTCCTGGGCCCGGTCCTGTTCAACATCTTTATTAATGACTTAGATGAAGGGCTAGAAATGATCATCAAGTTTGCAGACGACACCAAATTGGGAGGGAGAGCCAATACTCCAGAGGACAGGAGCAGGATTCAAAACGATCTTGACAGATTAGAGAGATGATTGGCCAGAACTAACAAAATGAAGTTCAACAGGGACAAATGCAAGACACTCCACTTAGTCAAAGATACAGAATGGGAGACGTCTGGCTCAAGGGCAGTATGTGTGAAAAAGATCTTGAAGTCCTCATGGACAACAAGTTAAACATGAGCCAACAATGTCATGTGGCAGCAAAAAAAAAAAAAACCAATGGGATTTTGGCCTGCATAAATAGGAGCATAGTGTCTAGATCCAGGGAAGTCATGTTACCCCTCTATTCTACCTTGGTCAGGCCACACCTGGAATCAATTCTTAGCACCGCAATGGAAGGGAGATGTTGTCAAGCTGGAATGTGTCCAGAGGAGGGTGACTAAAATGTTCAATGGTCTGGAGAACAAGCCCTATGAGGAGTGGCTTAAAGAGCTGGGCATGTTTAGCCTGAAGAAGAGAAGGCTGAGAGGAGACATGATGAGGGCCATGTATTAAAATGTGAGGTGATGTCACAGGGAAGAGGAGCAAACTTGCTTTCTGCTGCCCTGGAGACTAGGGCTCGGAGCAATGGCTTCAAACTACAGGAAAGGAGAGTCCATCTGAACATTAGGAATAACTTCCTGACTGTGAGAACTGTTCAGCAATGGAACTCTCTGCCCCAGAGTGTGGTAGAGGCTCCTTATAGAATCATAGAATCAAAGAGTTGGAAGAGAGCTGATGGGCCATCCAGTCCAACCCCCTGCCAAGAAGCAGGAATATTGCATTCAAATCACCCCTGACAGATGGCCATCCAACCTCTGTTTAAAAGCTTCCAAAGAAGGAGCCTCCACCACACTCCGGGGCAGAGAGTTCCACTGCTGAACGGCTCTCGCAGTCAGGAAGCTTCTTTGGAAGTTTTTAAATAGAGGCTGGATGGCCATCTGTTGGGGATGCTTTGAATGCAATTGTCCTGCTTCTTGGCAGAATGGGGTTGGACTGGATGGCCCACCAGGTCTCTCCCAACTCTATGATTTGTAGCAGTCGTTGGAGGGCTTTGATTGTGTTTTCCTGGCAGAATGGGGTTGGACAAGATCACCTCTAGAGTTTCCTTCCAACGTTATGATTATTACTAAGCAAAATGATCCCAGACCCATCTTTTGCTGATTCTCCCTTTCTTATCTGTAATGACATTTCGAAGCTTAAGGCCTCCAATTTCTTTATTTTATTTTTTCACTCACTTCTGATATAACAGCAATTGCTTAGGCAGCATCTGCCCAAGGGAAGACCTTGGCGGGACCTCGTAGACGGCATCCTATTGGGGTCAAAGCACCCCATGACTTTCCCCCGTAGCCCTGGGCGTCCCCTAGTAGCCATTTCAGCCGCCTTTGAGCCACATTCCGTTCTACTTTTCTGCAAAAATAGAAAAAGAAAGCTTAGCTGACGGGGCTCCAAAGCATTTCCAAATTGCTTTTTCTAAATTGCTTTTTTTGTAAAGGCTTTTAATCCAATTGTGTTTTGTTTAATGGGGTTCTTCAATGGCGGTAATAACTCACTCTGTTTTGACTGCAGGAAAAAGGAAAGCCTGATGTCATGGTGGCCAACGTCAAGTCTTAAGCATCAAGGTGCATCTACTTTGTGGAATTAATGCACTTTGGTGCCACTTTAATTGCCGTGGACAATGCTATAGAATCCTTGGAGCTGTAGTTTAATGGGGCACCAACAGAGAAGGCTCAAGACCTTCCAAAACTACATCTCCTGGGATTCAATAGCATTAAGACACAGCAGTTAAAGTGGTGCCAAACCACATTATGGTGTAGATGTGCCCTACAATGGACATGTACAGGATTGATTGGCTTCATCCTATAGGATCCTGAAATTTGTAGTTTGGGGATGGGCTTTGACTTCTCAACCAAGGCATCAAGACCTTTCAAAACTGCAACTCCCAGGAATCCATAGCATAAAGACACAGCAGTGAAAGTGGTGCCAAACCACATTATAGTGTAGATGTGCCCTACAATGGACATATACAGGATTGATTGGCTTCATTCTATAGGATCCTGAGATTTGTAGTTTGGGGATGGGCTTTGACTTCTCAACTGAGGCATCAAGACCTTTCAAAACTGCAACTCCCAGGAATCCATAGCATTAAGACACAGCAGTTAAAGTGGTGCCAAACCACATTACGGTGTAGATGTGCCCTACAATGGATGTGTACAGGATTGATTGGCTTCATCCTATGGGATCCTGAGATTTGTAGTTTGGGGATGGGCTTCAACTTCTTAACCGAGACATCAAGACCTTCTCAAACTACAACTCCCAGGAATGCATAGCATAAAGACACAGCAGTTAAAGTGGTGCCAAACCACATTATGGTGTAGATTTGCCCTACAATGGACATGTACAGGATTGGCTTCATCCTATGGGATCCTGAGATTTGTAGTTTGGGGATGGACTTCTCAACCAAGGCATCAAGACCTTTCAAAACTACAACTCCCAGGAATGCATAGCATAATCACACAGCAGTTAATGTGGTGCCAAACCACATTATGGTGTAGATTTGCCCTACAATGGACATGTACAGGATTGGCTTCGTCCTATGAGATCCTGAGATTGTAGTTTGGGGATGGGCTTCATCTTCTCAACCAAAGCATCAAGACCTTCCAAAACTACAACTCCCAGGAATCCATAGAGTTGTAATTTGGGGGTGGTCTTCGACTTCTTAACCGAGACCTTCCAAAACTACAATTCCCAGAATGTCATACCCTTGAACCATGGCAGATAAAAGTGATGCCAAACTGGATTAATTCAGCAGTGTCGATGCACTCAAAGCTGACTCATATAGCTGGTTTTTCTTTCCTTTCCCAGATGCAATAAGGTTCTTTTTTTCCTTTTCCCACTATCCAATGCAACTAATTATTTTTATTGTTTTTAACCTACTGCAGGCATTTGACCATTTCATCTTTGCCTTCTTTGCGGTGGAGATGGTCATCAAAATGGTGGCTCTGGGGATCTTTGGGCAGAAATGCTACCTAGGAGACACCTGGAACCGCTTGGACTTCTTCATCGTGATTGCCGGGTCAGTAGACTATGCTCACCTCTCCTTTTGAGTAAGCCTTCCTATCTCTAGAGTGCCCTCCTGTGGTTGTATCTGTACACTGCCACATGAGGTTTGTTTTTGGGGGGTCCTGGCTTCGAGAGGATTGTATTTACTAGTCAAAACCCCACCAGTATTTTAAGTTGGGTAGTGAAGACTTGGTGTGCCAAGTTTGACCCAGATCCATCAAGCCATGCAGGAGCCTTTGTGGAACATACATACAAACACACAGATAAGATAGATAGATAGATAGATAGATAGATAGATAGATAGATAGATAGATAGATAGATGATAGATAGATAGATAGATAGATAGATAGACAGACAGACAGACAGACAGACAGACAGACAGACAGATAGATGGGTAGATGGGTAGATGGGTAGATGGGTAGAAAGGTAGAAAGGTAGAAAGGTAGATTGGCAGATTGGCAGATTGGTAGAAAGATAGATGACACAGATAGGCATTAAGAGACCATCAGTGCTCCTTCAGGAAGTTATGGGTGTGTCTATACTGACATTTGAGCTGTTCCAATATCAGCAAGCCTTTCGGTGCAGCTACACTGTGGAATTAATGCAGTTTGATGCTACTTTATCCGCCCTGTCTGAATACTATGGGATGCTGGAGTTGTAGTTTGGTGATGCGCCAGCCCCTCTTTGGCAAAGAGAGGGCTGAAGACCTTGCAAGGCTACAACTCCCAGAATTCCATGGCAGATTAAGTGGAATCAAACTGCATTGATCCTACAGTTTAGAGCCACCCCAATCTCTGCACCTTCTGTTTCTCTACAGGGTGTTTGTGCCTCAACAAACTACAACTCCCATGACTCCATAGCCTTGAACCGTAGCATCTCAAGAGGTGCTGTAAACCTTCAATGTAGATGCAGCACCCAAAGGTTGAGTGATATTGGAACGGCGCCAACTGCTTGCAAACCTGCTGGCTGCTCTCAACCGTCGCCAATGTCAATTCTCCACCTGAATGACATCAAGGGGTCCCACCTGATAAAGGGGCTATTTTGGGGAACGCTGGTGGATAAGGAAGTGTGGGAGAAACGTGTGGGGCCCCTTTTGACCCTCTGGGCATCTTAATTCATGGGAGGTTGGGATGGAAACCAGACCCATTGGCGGTAACCAGGGTGACTTTGATACAAACAGAGACTGGGATCAGAGGATTGGAAGTAACAGGCGGGTTCTCCTTTTCTCTGGACCTTGAGAACGTGCCCCAGAACACGGCGCAAACGAACAGCACTGAGAGCATTTAGTCACCGGCTTCCATTAGGACGGCAGCCAGGTGCCTCTTTCGGTCTCTGCCTTGCATTAGATTCCTGGAAAACCCAGCCAATGCACTCACCTGGCATTTGGCTGACCGCCTAAGCACTCTCAATGGGAAATGGGCCTTTGCACTGCAAATTTCCTCGATGGGTGACCCATGGATCGGCCACATACCAAAATGCACATATCAAATGAAGAGGAGGAGGAGGAGGAGGAGGAGGAGGAGGAAGAAGAAGAAGAAGAAGAAGAAGAAGAACAACAACAACAACAACAACAACAACAATGTTATGTTTGCTTTTACATATCCATGAATTCAACTATCTGTGGGTAAGGGCATTAAAAACAACAACAACAACAACAACAACAACATTATGTTTGCTTTTCCATATCTATGGATTCAAATATCTATGGGTAAGGGTATTATTAACAACAACAACAAAAACAATGTTATGTTTGCTTTTTCGTATCCATTGATTCAAGTATCTATGGGTAAGGGCATTATTAACAACAACAACAACAACAACAACAACAACAACAACATTATGTTTGCTTTTCCATATCCATGGATTCAAATATCTATGGGTAAGGGTATTATTATTAACAACAACAATAACAACAACAACAACAACGTTATGTTTGCTTTACCATATCCATAGATTCAACTATCTATGAGTAAGGGCATTATTATTAACAACAACAACAACAACAACAACAACAACAACGTTATGTTTGCTTTTCCACATCCATGGATTCAACTATCTATGGGTAAGGGTATTATCAACAACAACAACAACAACAACAACAATGTTACATTTGCTTTTTCATACCCATGGATTCAACTATCTATGAGTAAGGGCATTATTAACAACAACAACAATAACAACAACAACATTATGTTTGCTTTTCCATATCCATGGATTCAAGTCTCTATGGGTAAGGGCATTATTAACAACAACAACAACAATGTTATGTTTGCTTTTTCATACCCGTGGATTCAACTATCTATGGGTAAGGGTATTATTATTATTAACAACAACAACAACAACAATGTTGTGTTTGCTTTTCCACATTCATGGATTAAACTATCTATGGTTAAGGGTATTATTATTAACAACAACAACAACAACAACATTATGTTTGCTTTTCCATATCCATTGATTCAAGGATCTATGGGTAAGGGCATTATTAAAAACAATAACAACAACAACGTTATGTTTGCTTTTCCATATCCATGGATTCAACTATCTATGGGTAAGGGTAATATTAACAACAACAACAACAACAACAACAACAATGTTATGTTTGCTTTTCCATATCCATGGATTCAAATATCTATGAGTAAGGGCATTATTAACAACAACAACAACAACAACAACAACAATAACAACAACATGATGTTTGCTTTTCCATATCCATGGATTCAAGTTTCTATGGGTAAGGGCATTATTAACAACAACAACAACAACGTTATATTTGCTTTTTCATACCCGTGGATTCAACTATCTATGGGTAAGGGTATTATTATTAACAACAACAACAACAACAACATTATGTTTGCTTTTCCATATCCATTGATTCAAGTATCTATGGGTAAGGGCATTATTAAAAACAACAACAACAACAACAACAACATTATGTTTGCTTTTCCATATCCATGGATTCAACTATCTATGGGTAAGGGTATAATTAACAACAACAACAGCAACGACAGCAATAACATTATATTTGGTTTTTCACACCCATGGATTCAACTATCTATGGGAAGGGTATTATTAACAACAAAAACAACAACAACCACAGTTCACTTTTCCCTCTTGATCAAGACCCAAAGCATATGTACATTTTAATTTATTGGCGTGGATGCCTTGGTACAACCACTCTAGTTTTCCTTCCTTGAAAGTGTTTTTATTTAGGATTATTCTTGCTGTCCCTTCCTTTTCATTTGACTCTTTTTTTTCCTTTTCCCTTAGCATGATGGAGTATTCTTTGGATGGGCACAACGTCAGCTTATCCGCCATCCGGACGGTCCGGGTACTTCGGCCTTTAAGAGCCATTAATAGGGTTCCAAGTAAGTATTTCTGGGCTTTGAGATAGCCCTTTTTTCTGAATTTTGTGGGAGTCTGACCCTTTCCTCTTTTCTGAACCCTGTCATTCCTTCAGATTCTTGTAGTGTTTCCCATGACAGTTCTATACTCTGTGGGTCTCCCAAGATTATCAGCATATCATCTGCGAATATGTTTATTTTATATCTTAGACTTTGTATGCTTAGCCCTTTAATGCCTTCTTTTTTTGTCTCATATTCCTGAGTAATATGTCCATTGAGAGGGGAAAACAGTAGCAGAGAAAGCCTTGTCTTGTTCCCTACTATATTTTTCCCTCTGCGCTTTAAACCAATGTGATGAACCTGACCAATCTTTGGTGAAGAATAATTCAAACATTTCAAAAATGAATTCAAAGCAATAGAATAGCTACCATTTGGTCTCCACTTAAGAGCATAACTTCAACATTTTTTAGACTATAATGCTAATCTAAGATCCATATTTTACTATAATGCCCATTGTCCCCCAGCCACTCAGAATCCATATTTTGGACTGCAATGCCCAGTATCCCCAGCTAGAATCCATATTTTGGACAACAATGTCCATTGCCGTCATCCAGGATCCATATTTTACTATAATACCAATTGTCCCCCAGCCACGCAGAATCCATATTTTGGACTGCAATGCCCTGGATCCATAGCTAGAATCCATATTTTGGACTACAATGCCCATTGCCCTCATCCAGGATCCATTTTAAAACTATAATGCCCATTGTCCCCCAGCCACTCAGAATCTATACTTTGGACTGCAGTGCCCAGTATCCCCATGTAGAACCCATATTTTGGACTACAATGTCAATTTCCCCCATCTAGCAAGACTTTGGATTTGGACTCCAGTGCCCATTATCCCCCAGCCACCCAGGATCCATATTTTGGACTGCAATTGCATTGTCCCCAGCCAGTCAGAATCCACCGTTTTGTGATACAAGAGACCAGCATGACGACATCTTTAAAAACCAAATCTCAGAGAGTTTTCTAAATTATTGTTTTAATTGAATGGTTCACTTGTTCCTGGCTGCGACTCACACAGCCCTTTTACACACACACACAAACGTATACGTGTATATACACACACATTTCAAAAATGCAACTAAAATCAACTCACATCCCCTTTGAAATGGGGCTTAGTGTTACGACAGGAAGCAGCTGGTCTTGCCGATATCAAAAGGCAACTGGGGCTGTGGACTGCAGGGCTGATAATGAATCTTAAACAGCATCAGCCGCCCAGGTAATCCTCCCTGATCCCCCAATTCACCAGCAAAGCCTTAACATTCACTTACGCTCCTTCAGCGCCTTCTCGGATAAATTGCATCGTGACCCGGTGCAAGCTGAATCATGTCTTGGATGGGAAAAGGGGGGCGCATAGGAGACCTCCATATCCCACCCCCAGAAATGCCCAGTTTGGACCTCCCCTAGATTCAGTCATGGTATCAAAGTGCATTAATTCTACAATGTAAGGCTTTGGCTGCGGATCAGGTTCGTTGCTTCGAAAGGTGTCTAATGAATCACTCCGCTGGATTAGTTTGTCCTTTTCTCTCGTCTTCTGCAGGTATGCGCATACTGGTGACCCTCCTGCTAGATACTCTGCCTATGTTAGGCAACGTCCTTCTTTTATGCTTCTTTGTCTTTTTCATCTTTGGGATCGTCGGCGTCCAGCTCTGGGCCGGGCTGCTACGCAACCGGTGTTTCATGGACACCAATTTCCAAATGTAAGTCCCCCCAAACCTATCTTTGTTGAGTTGGTCAAGGCAAGAAGGGGTTTAGGAGTCTTAGTAAACATGAGTCAACACTCTGATGCAGCAGCTCAAAAGGCCAATGTGATTCTAGGCTGTATCCATCAGTCTAGTGTCCAGGTTGAGGGAAGTCATAGTCCCACTCTCTTAGAATCATAGAATCAAAGAGTTGGAAGAGACCTCATGGGCCATCCAGTCCAACCCCCTGCCAAGAAGCAGGAATATTGCATTCAAATCACCCCTGACAGATGACCATCCAGCCTCTTCTGCCTTGGAATCACCCTGATTTCAGTTCTACATTCAAGAAAGAGATGGGAGTGATGGAAGGTGTCCAGAGAAGGGCAACCAAAATGGTCAAAGGTGTGGAAATGTTGGATTCTTATAAGGAGCAGCTTTGGGTTCTGTGAACGTTTAGATTGGAGAAGAGAAGGTTGAGAGGAGATATGACAGCCATGTTTAAATATTTGAAAGGAGGTCACTTTGAGCAGTTTTGGGTTCTGTGAACGTTTAGCTTGGAGAAGAGAAGGTTGAGAGAAGATATGACAGCCATGTTCAAATATTTGAAAGGAGGCCACACACATTGAGGAGGGGGCAAACTTACAGAATGGGACACAGAAGAATAGATTTAAATTGCCGGAAAAGTGTTTCCATCTAAACATTAGGAAGAACGTCCTGATGGCCAGAGCTGTTCAACCATGGGAGATGTTACCTTGGAATCTCTTTCTGTGGAGGTTGGATGGCCATCTGTCAGGAGGGTTCAGATGGTGTCAACCTGCTTCGCAGAAGGGGTTGGTCTGAATGACCTTTGGTGTCTCCCCAAATTCAATGATTCTATAACCCTATGTAACATGATTTTTGTTCCTGGGTTATAAATGTCATTTCCGAATTGGTTCTTTCATAAAACCATAGAAAATCTTTATTAAACTGCCCAAACTTTGTTTCTGAAGGACAACCTGCATCACATTTTGCTCTAGTTTTTCAATGAATATCTCATAGATCATAATTTCTCAACCTGGGGTTCAGGACCAATGGATGTGTCACTAGGGGGTGTCAGAGGGGTTGCCAAAGACCATATTGGTCATGGGAGTTCTGTGTGGAAACTTTGGCCCAATTCTATCATTGGTAAGGTTCAGAATGCTCTTTGATTGTAGGTGAACTATAAATCCCAACAGATACAACTCCCAAATGTCAATTCTATATTCCTTAAACTCCACCAATGTTCACATTTGGGCATATTGAGTATTCATGCCAAGTTTGGTCCAGATCCACTGTTGTTTGAGTCCCCCATTGTTGTTTGAGTCCCTGGATGTAGGTGCACTACAACTCCAACTCCAATGCCCACCAAACCCTTCCAGTATTTTCTGTTGTTCATGGGAGTTCTGTGTGCCAAGATTGGTTCAATTCCATTGTTGATGGAGTTCAGAATGCTCTTTGATTGTAGGTGAACTAGAAATCCCAGCAACTACAACTCCCAAGTGACAAAATCAATCCCTTGCCCAACCCCAGCAGTATTCAAAGTTGAGCATATCGAGTATTTGTGCCAAATTTGGACCAGTGAATGAAAATACATCCTGTATATCAGATATTTACATTATGGAGCCCCCGGTGGTACAATGGGTTAAACCCTTGTGTCGGCAGGACTGAAGACCGACAGGTCGGAGTTTCGAAGCCAGGGAGAATGTGGATGAGCTCCATCTGTCAGCTCTAGCTCCCCATGCAGGGACATGAGAGCAGCCTCCCACAAATATGGTAAAACATCAAAGCATCCAGACATCCCCTAGGCAATGTCCTTGCAGACAGCCAATTATCTCACACCAAAAGTGGCTTGCAGTTTCTCAAGTCACTCCTGACACGAAAAAAAATTACATCTCGATTTATAACAGTAGCAAAATTACAGTTATGAAGTAGCAATGAAAATAATTTTATGGTTGGGGGGGGGTCATCACAACATGAGGAACTGTATTAATGGGTCACAGGATTAGGAAGGTTGAGAAACACTGTCATAGAGTCTCAACCAGTTCAACAGAGCCACAAAAATGACATTTCTGGAATATAACAACTACTTTCAAAGTAAGGACCGCACAATAAAACAGGAATTAATGCTTTCAAATCAGGAACATATATTTTCTAATTTTGTTACATAGTGTAATAAGAACAAGGAGGACCAGGCAAGGGCCGGGGAAGGACCGTCTTTTGCTTCTTTGCCCAATATGGTTGAGACCCGTCCAAAAAACCTGTTACCATCCCTCCGGTTGGTGTTATCTCTTCCATTCTCCTGCCATTGGGTAATGGCTTTTCAGCGCCTCTGGGAGAGACAGGATGGGCTCTGGACACATCTGATAAGACCCTCCAGTGGTTTCCAAGCCCACCTCTCCGATCTCTTGTAGTGCGAGAGATGTTTCCCAGACGCTATTCCTCCATTCTCCCTCCTGACTCAACAGCGTCTGGAGATAATAAAGGCCCAAGAGCTTGGATAGGACTCACAAGGTGATAAATCCGGAGATAGTCAGTACTGAAGAGCATGGATAAGGCTCACCAGGTGATAAATAGGCACCCGATGAAGGGCGTCCTTGCAGAAAACCACAGCCATTCTCTGCAAGGCGGCCCAAGTGGGACTACGTCTCTCCAGTCTGCTCCATTGACTCCATATCTGTCAGCTTCTCGGCTGATTGCATTCTTTGGCAGGGCAGCAATTCCTTAATGCATGTCTTGGCCCACTGAGCCCAAAACAGTAGAGGACGACGAACGGGACGTGTTTTAGTCGACCAAAGAGAACTTGCCAGTTACAATCCAGTGGCAACGCTCCTTTGCCCAGTGGGAACCAAGCAGAACTTCATTTAATGCATTTCAAGAGAAGGATATTGTCTGTAGCTACGCCGTTCCCTGAAATCTGTGTTTTTAATTGTGTAATGAGGGCAACCAGGTTCATTTGAGGATGTTTAAAGGGATGGGAATTCAGCCTGGGATTAAGTCTTCTTCAGTGAAAGGGATGGAACAATTTTATCACATCTGCATTCACCTGATGTGCCATGGTCCCAGTACGAAATAGGCCCCTATGCACTCCTAATGGATATTTGAACACAAATGGGTACCAGAAGTGCCCCAGGTGCATCAGAAGTACCCAAAGGAAGTGTCCAAAGGGTATCGGAAATGCCCAGTGTGCATCACAATGTTGTACATCACAAGAGCTCAATGAGCATGTGAGCTCCCCAATGCACAACAGTAGTGACCCATGTACATGAGAAATATCCAATGTGCATCGGAAGTGTCTGATATGTATCAGAAGTAAGTGTCCCATATGCAATAGAACTGTCTGATGCACAAGAGAAGTGCCAGGTGTGCATCAGAAGCATCCAATGCACATGATAAGTGGCCAGTGTGCAACAGAAGTGTCTGATGCACATGAAAAATGTCTGGTGCTTGTGAAAAGGCTCTGGTGCATATGAGAAGTGCCCAATATGCATTAGACATGTCCAGTGTGCATCAGAAGTCCCCTAATGACATCACAAGTTCACAACGCCTGCGAGAAGTGTCCAACATTCGTCAGAAGTGCTCAATATACGCCAGAAATGTCTAATGCACATGATTAAGTGTCTAGTTCCCAATTAACATTTCAAGTGACCAATGCTCAGTGTCCATCCCAAGAGCCCAATGCACATAAGAGGTGTGCAATACACATAGAGGTGCTCGGTGTACTCCCCAAGTGTCCAATGCACACAAAAGGTGTGCGATATGCATAGAGGTGCTCGGTGTGCATCCCAAGTGCCCAATGCACACAAAAGGGGTGTGATATGCATAGAGGTGCTCGGTGTACATCCCAAGTGCCCAATGCACACAAAAGGTGTATAATATGCATAGAGGTGCTCGGTGTACATCCCAAATCCCCAATGCACACAAAAGGTGTGTGATATGCATAGAGGTGCTCGGTGTACATCCCAAATCCCCAATGCATACAAAAGGTGTGTGATATGCATAGAGGTGCTCGGTGTACATCCCAAGTGCCCAATTCACACAAAAGGTGTGTGATATGCATAAAGGTACTTTGAAGTACTTTGGCCACATCATGAGGAGACAGCAAAGCCCAGAGAAGACAATTATGCTGGGGAAAGTGGAAGGCAAAAGGAAGAGGGGCCGACCAAAGGCAAGATGGATGGATGGCATCCTTAAAGTGACTTGACTGACCTTGAAGGAGCTGAGGGTGCTGATGGCCGACAGGGAGCTCTGGCGTGGGCTGGTCCATGAGGTCACGAAGAGCCGGAGACGACTGAACGAATGAACAACAACAATGCATAGAGGTGCTCGGTGTACATCCCAAGTGCCCAATGCACACCAAATAGGTATGTGATACACATAGAGGCACTCAGTATACATCCCGAGTGCCAAATTCATACAAGAGGTGCTCAGTGTACATCCCAAGTGCCCAATGCACATGAGAAGTACCTGGTGTATCTCAAAAGTGTCTGATGGCCATGGAAAGCATCTGATGTGTGTGGAAATCATCTGGTCCACATGAGAGGTGTCTGATACACATGAGAAGTGCCCAATTCACACCAGAAGTGTCCAGTGTACATCAGAAATGTCCAGTGGACATCACAAAGGCCCAGTGCACATCGGAAGAACCTTGTGCACATATCTGAAGTGCCCAATGGTCACCTGGAGCTTCACATGCACATCGAAAGCACATTGCTGAGGCTTCAAAGCATATCCTCTCAATTCACTAATTTCAGTAACGCATCCGTAAAGTTATGAAACATTGGCCATAACATAGATGCTCAGCCAAGATCAATGTGGGGCCTTCCCCGTCTTCTTGCCCACCTCAGGATATTTCAGAAGCTCTTGCTGGTGACTCAATAAAATCAAATAATCCCATGCAAAGGAAAGTCTGGGGGCGGCGGTTTGCGGAAAGGGAGCTCTCCAGCAATTAAAACCGGCGGCTATCTCAGCCGAACAGGAACAGGAGAGCAGATCCCCCAGCAATTAAAAAGAGATTGGCGATAAGCCTCCGTGCCGGAGCCCGCTTGTTTCTACTTCTCCCCGTCGGGCCACCCAAAGAGCCTGGAATGGCCGGTGGCAGAGTCGCTTTTCGTTAATACATCTGTCAATAGAAGGAAGGTTGTTGGTTTTGTTTGTTTTTTTAATTAATACCTTTGAAAATATGATTGGGCTTGTCAGGAGTTTGGAAGATGGAATGGTGTCTGGTCAGTGGCACTCAGAAGACCTTGGACGGATGGCCTTTTGAGGCATCTGAAGAACTTGTGACAGTTGGCTAGAGATGCCACCATATTCATATTTCGATATGGATCTCATGTCTCTTTCTTTTCTCCAAGCTAAACCTACCCAGCTGCCTAAGCTATTCCTCAGAGGGAGTTATAGTTTCCAGACCTTTGATCATTTCAGCCTTCCTTCTCTGAACATCTCTAGTTTGAATTGTGCACAGAACTAGATATATTATTATTCCAGGTGAGGTCTGACCAAAGCAAAATAGAGTGGGACCTGACTTCTCTCCATCTAGTCCAGGCATGGACAAACTTGGGCCCTCTGGGTGTTTTGGACTTCAAGTCCCACCATTCCTAACAGCCTCAATGTGACGGCGTGAGTGGCGCCACCTGTGTGTAGAACTTTAAAGTGCAAAGGTTTAAACTGTATAACATGCCCAAACTTGCCTAGTTTGTAAATGTATAGTTGGATTGATTGATTGGTTGGTTATTTATAGCTGTCAATCAATGTTGTTTGCACCAGTTATATTGCTTCCTCAGCTCAATTGCTTGGCTCCACCTCTTCCTGGAGGAGGGCAGAGCTTTTCTTTTTCCATTCTACAGTCAAACTTTCTATCAGATAGACGTGAGAAAGAGACTTGGCTCTAAAGCCCTTAATTAAGTTACCTCTCATCATCAATTCTAAGGTTTTGACCCTTGGAACTCATACTTGCATTGCATTGGCCTTTTTAGCTGCTGCATCACACTGTTGGCTCATGGTCGTCAGGTGGTTTGCTAAGACTCCCTTTCACATGGATTGCTCTTGAGCTATTTTATGTTTGAATATTCATACCCTGCACTTCTTGTCCTCACTCCACCTTCTCCAAACAAAACATACTCCCAAAGCTGGTCTTCATCGGGATTCGTGGTATCCAGGCCTTGGACCATTTGAGTTGCCCTTCTTTGGACATACGCATTTGTGGTTCAACACTGATTCCCTCTTTCATGTGCAGCACATACATTTCTTTCACCTCAGTGAATCTCTACTTCTATTCTCCATCGAGAAAATGACAACTGACCAAAGACATCAATGCAGTGGTTCTCAACCTTCCTAATGCCGTGACCCCTTAAAACTGTTCCTCATGTTGTGTTGACCCCCAACCATAACATTATTTTTGTTGCTATTTCATAACTATCATTTTGCCACTGTTATGAATGGTAATGTAAATATCTGATATGTAGGATGTATTTTCATTCATTGGACCAAATTTGGCACAAATACCCAATACGCCCAAATTTGAATACTGGTGGGGTTGGAGGGAATTTATTTTGTCATTTGGGAGATGTAGTTGCTGGGATTTATAGTTCACCTACAATCAAAGAGTATTCTGAACTCCACCAACGATGGAACTGAACCAAATTTGGCAGGACTCCCACGACCAAGGCTTTGGTAGGCATTAACCTTGAGTTTGGGAGCTGTATTTCACCTACATCCAGAGGGCACTGTGGACTCAAACAATGATGCATCTGGACCAAACTTGGCATGAATACTCAATATGCCCAAATGTGAACACTGCTGGAGGAATATAGACTTGACATTTGGGAGTTGTATCTGCTGGGATTTATAGTTCACCTACAATCATAAGAGTTGAAAAAGACTTTGTGGGCCATCCCATCCAACCCCATTCTGCCAAGAAACAGGACAATTGTGTTCAAAGCACCCCCAACAGATGGCCATCCAGCCTCTGTTTAAAAGTCTCCATGGAAGGAGCCTCCACCAGAGAGTTCCACTGCTGAACAGCTCTCACAGTTAGGAAATTCTTCCTAATGTTCAGGTGGAATCTCCTTTCCTGTAGTTTGAAGCCATTGCTCCGCATCCTAGTCTCCAGGGCAGCAGAAAATAATAATAATAATAATAATAATAATAATAATAATCTTTATTTATACCCCGCCACCATCTCCCCGATGGGACTCGGAGCGGCTTACATGGGGCCAAGCCCAAACAACAATTACAATGAAGAAAAACGACTCCGGCCCTATTTACCTCTCCAAATGTATTCTCCCCTACGAACCATCAAGATTATTAAGATCATCTGGAGAGGCCCTGCTCTCGGTCCCACCGGCCTCGCAAGCGCGTCTGGTGGGGACGAGGGACAGGGCCTTCTCGGTGGTGGCCCCGCGACTCTGGAACTCTCTCCCACCAGAGGTCAGAACCGCCCTGTCTATCCTGACATTTAGGAAATGGGTGAAGACGTGGCTTTGGAGTCAGGCTTTCGATGAATGAGACAACACCCTAGGATTCTGGATGGAAGATGATGTAGATTTGATTTTAATACGACGACTGACCACCGTAGTTTTATATATAGCATTATTTTAAATCTGTTACTGTAATTGTGATCTTTGATATTTTAATGATTGTATGTGTTTTTATGGTTGGAAACCGGGCTGAGTCCCTCAATGAGGTTGAGAAGTTCAGTATAGAAAACTTTGAAATAAAATAAATAAAATAAAAACCGAAAATGCAAACCAAAAATGCGAACAATAAACAACAACATCATAACAAGTTTGCTCCCTCCTCCCTATGACTTTCCCTAACATATTTATACATGCCTCTCAGCCTTCTCTTCTGCAGGCTAAAAATGCCCAGCTCTTCAAGCCGCTCCCCATAGGGCTTGTTCTCCAGACCCTTGATCAATCAAAGAGCATCCAACAAACTTCCCACACAGAACCCCCAGGACCAACAGAAAATACTGTTTTCTGATGGTCTTTGGCAACCCCTTTGACACCCCTCAGGTTGAGAAACATGGTAGTAACGTTTCTTTGTTTTCCCGAGGTCCTACAACTTGACTTTCCTGCATCCGTACTACCGTCCGGAGGAAGGGGAAGAGAACCCGTTCATCTGCTCGTCCCACCGGGACAACGGCATGCAGAAGTGCTCCAGCATCCCCAACCGCAAGGAGTTCAAGGTGGAATGCACTCTGAGCATGGACTCCTACAGCCCCCAGTCCTACCCCTTGGACCTCAGCAGCCGCAACGGCTGCATAAACTGGAACCAGTATTACAACGTTTGCAGGACGGGCGACTTGAACCCGCACAGCGGAGCTATTAATTTTGATAATATTGGCTATGCTTGGATAGCTATCTTTCAGGTAAGGGCCCCTCGCCTTTTTGTTCTTCTTCACCAGGGAGCAACGGAGAAGCAGGTTGGTTGGAGAAATGGGTTTCCTTGGCTTGTATCAAAGGGGGAGGAAGAAAGTAGAACCTCCTTGTTGGAGGAATGGGTTTCCTTTCCTTTGATAGAAAGGGGTTGAAGTAATGAATCCTGTCCTTGTTGGAGGAATGGGTTTCCTTCACATATATAAAAGGAGAAGGAAGAAAGTAGAATCTTGCAATTGTTTGGAGGAATAGGTTTCCTCTGCTTGCAGAGAGAGAGAGTTGAAGAAACTGGAATATTGTATTGTCGAAGGCTTTCATGGCTGGAATCACTGGGTTGTTGTAGGTTTTTCAGGCTGTATGGCCATGTTCCAGAAGCATTCTCTCCTGATGTTTCGCCTGCATCTATGTCAAGCATCCTCAGAGGTAGGAGCCCCCAGTGGCGCAGTGGGTTAAAGCCCTGTGCCGGCAGGACTGAAGACAGATAGGTCGCAGGTTCGAATCCAGGGAGAGGCGGATGAGCTCCCTCTATCAGTTCCAGCTCTTCATGCGGGGACATGAGAGAAGCCTCCCACAAGGATGATAAAAACATCAAATCATCCAGGCATCCCCTGGGCAGCGTCCTTGCAGACGGCCAATTCTCTCACACCAGATGCGACTTGCAGTTTCTCAAGTCGTTCCTGTCATGACAAAAAAAAAATCCTCAGAGGTTGTGAGGTCTGTTGGAAACTAGGCAAGTGAGGTTTATATATGTCCAGGGTGGTAGAAAGAACTCTTGTCTGCTTGAAGCAAGCGTGAATGTTGCAATTGGCCACCTTGATTAGCATTGAATGGCCTTGCAGCTTCAAAGCCTGGCTGCTTCCCGCCTGGGAGAATCCTTTGTTGGGAGGTGTTAACTGGCCCTGATTGTTTCATGTCTGGAATTCCTATGTTTTTTTTTTAGTGTTGCTCTTTATTTACTGTCCTGGATTTAAAGGGTTTTTTTAATATTGATAGCCAGATTTTGTTCATTTTCATGGTTTCCTCCTTTCTGTTGAAATTGTCCACATGCTTGTGGATTTCAGTGGCTTCTCTGTGTTGTCTGATATGGTGGTTGTGAGAGTGGTCCAGCATTTCTGTGTTTTCAAATAATATGCTGTGTCCAGGTTGGTTCATCAGGTGCTCTGCTATGGCTGACTTCTCTGGTTGAGTTAGACTGCAGTCCCTTTCATGTTCCCTGTTTCGTGTTTGGCCGTCCCTATGTAGACTTGTCCTCAGCTGTATGATAACTGGTAGATTTCTACAGAGGTGAGAGGATCCCTCTTGTCTTGTCAAAGGCTTTCATGGCTGGAATCACTGGGTTGTTGTAGGTTTTTCGGGCTATATGGCCATGTTCTAGAAGCATTCTCTCCTGACATTTCGCCTGCATCTATAGCAAGCATCCTCACAACCTCTGAAGATGCTTGCCATAGATGCAGGCAAAATGTCAGGGGAGAATGCTTCTAGAACATGGGCCTATAGCCCAAAAAACCTACAACAACCCAGTGATCCCTCTTGTCCTTTGCTGAAACAATCAGGGCCAGGTAATACCTCCCAACAAAGGATTCCCCCAGGCAGGAAGCAGCCAGGCTTTGAAGCTGCAAGGCTACTCAATGCTAATCAAGGTGGCCAYTTTCAACATTCACACTTGCCCCAAGCAGACAAGAGTTCTTTCTCCCACCCTGGACATTATTCCAGAGATATACAAACCTCACTTGCCTAGTTTCCAACAGACCTCACAACCTCCGAGGATGCCTGCCATAGATGTGGGTGAAACGTCAGGAGAGAATGCTTCTGGAACATAGCCATACGGCCCAGAAAACTCACATCAACCCAGAGTTATTTTGCTTCTATGAAAGGGATGAAGAAACTGGAATCTTGCTATTGTTGGAGGAAGAATTTCTTTCGCTTGTGTAGGCAGAGGATGACAAAACAGAGCAATAGGGGTCTTCACCATTTGCAAAAAGGCTTTATTTGGCTCTGAAAAGGGATGCTCCGGTGCCTTAAGCTTGAAAGCGCTTTACAATGGAGTAAAATGGCAAACTTAGTGGTTATGTCACCTGGGTGAGACTGCATCTCTCCGGCCTCTTGCAAACGCAGGCAATTATTTCCAAACTATTTTGCAAACCCTTCTTAAGGGCTCAAGCTTCACCTTGGTCTTAAATCCGCACCCGGCTCTCCTTGGAAACATTTCCAGCTTCTTCTTAGCTTTCCGGGTTTTTCCGTCTCTTGCACTGCGTATCTTATTTCATTCTCCCCATGCAAATGCCAGGGCTAATTAGCATGATAAATCAAGCCCTCATGAATATGTTATGAAGGCTCGTTTATTACCCCTTCCGACAAGCGCCATTGGTTTCTATCCCAGGCGGAGTGCGTGAGGATATCCGCATAATCCATCTGATCAATATGTCTCTTGGTAAAGTTACTGTTTTGGATTGCCTTTTCTCCCATATGGCTGAGGGATGCTGGAGGTTGCAGTTCAAATGAATTCTGGTTTGGGCTGCATCACTTCAGATTTTGAAGCATTCCTAGTTATCCTTTTTGGGTGTTATCATAGCTGTCTTGGCAAGATTTTGTCACCATTGCTTTCTTTTGAGGCGGAGATAGTGTGACTTCCTCCCCACCCCCACCCCCCTCCCCATGACTGAGCAGGGTTTCAAACACTAGACTCTCCCAATCCTTCAACACAAAATGTGGTGCCGTTTTTAATTATTTATTTGGAGGAGGTTTACCCTGAGGCTGAGAGAGTGTGACTTCCTAACTTCACCAGCAGAGTTTTGTGGCTGGGCATGGATTTTGAAGCCTGTTCTCTTTGTATTCTAACCCAATACCAAAGCTCTAGGCCCTGCAGGCTCCCAATTGTCATATGGCTCTGGCGGATAGACATATTTCTTAGCCGTTGCCTTCCTCTGAGGCTGAGAGAGTGTGACTTGGCCAAACTTTCAGTGACTGAGTGAATACTACCCTCCAACACTCAAACAGCTACATCATTCTGGGCTTTCCATGTTGGCCCTGTTATAAAAGAAAGAAAAAAAGAAAGAAAGAAAGAAAGAAAGAAAGAAAGAAAGAAAGAAAGAAAGAAAGAAAGAAAGGGAGTTAAGGTAGGAAGAAAATAAGAAGAGAAAGAAGGAAAGGAAGGAAGGAAGGAAGGAAGGAAGGAAGGAAGGAAGGAAGGAAGGAAGGAAGGAAGGAAGGAAGGAAGAAAAAGAGAGGAAGGAAGGAAGGCAAGAAAAGAAGGAAGGAGGAAGGAAGGAAGGAAGGAAGGAAGGAAGGAAGGAAGGAAGGAAGGAAGGAAGGAAGAGAAGAGAAGGAAGGAAAGGAAGAGGGAAGGAGGAAGGAAGGAAGGAAAGGAGAGAAGAAGAGGAAGGGAAGGAAGAGAAGAAAGAGAGAGAGAGAGAGAGAAAGAAAGAAAGAAAGAAAGAAGAAAGAGAAGAAGGAAGGAAATAAGAGAGAAAAAGGAAGGAAGGAAAGGGAGGAAAAGAGGAAGGAAGAAGGAAAGGAAGGAAGGAAGGAAGGAAGGAAGGAAGAGGAAGGAAGGAAGGAAGGAAGAGAAGAAGAGGAAGGAAGGAAAGGAGGAAGGAAGAAGGAAGGGGAAAAGAGGAAGAAAGAAGGAGAAAGAAGGGAAGGAGAGAGGGAAGAAAGGAGAGAGGGAAAGAGGAGGGAAGGGAGGAAGGAAAAAAAAAACAGGAGGAAAGAAAAAAGAAAAAGGAAGGAAGAGAAGAGAAGGGAAGGAAGGAAGGAAGGAAGGAAGGAAAGGAAGGAAGGAAGGAAGAAGGAAGGAAGAAGGAAGGAGAAGGAAGGAAGGAGAGAGGGAAGGAAGGAAGGAAAGAGAAGAGGAAGGAAAGAAGGAAGGAAGGAAGGACAAGAAGGAAGGAAGGAAGGAAGGAAGAGGAAGAGGGAAAGGAAGGAGAGAGGGAAGGAAAGAAAGAAGAAGGGAAGGAAGGAAGAAGGAGGAAAGGAAGGAAGGAGGAGGGAAGGAAGGAAGGAAGAGGGAAGGAAGGAAGGAAGGAGAAGGAAGGAAGGAGGAAGGAAGGAAGGAAGGAGAGAGGGAAGGAAGGAAGGACAGAAGAAGAGAGAGAGAAAGAAAGAAAAAGAAAGAGGGAGGGAGAAAGACAGAAGAAAAGGAAGGAAGGAAGAAGAAGAGGAATGAAAGAGGAAAGGAAGGAAGATGGAGGGAAGGAGGACAGTAAGAAAAAAGGGGAGGAAGGAAAAACAGAAAAGAAAGAAAGGGAAGAAAGAAAAAACAAAGCAGAGAAAGAAAAGGGAAGAAAGTAAGGAAAAGGAGGAAGGAAGAGAGCAAGGAGAGGGAGGAGAAAAAGGAAGGAAGGACAGAAGAGAGAAAGAAAACAAAAAGCAAAGATAGGGAGAAGAGAAAGAAAGTCAGGAGAAGAGAAAGAAAGAAAGAAAGAAAGAAGGAAGGAAGGAAGGAAGGAGGAAGGAAGGAAGGAAGGAAGGAAGGAAGGAAGGAAGGAAGGGGAAATGGTATAATTTTCTAGATGGTGCTTGGATGTGTGTTGCAATACGTTTGGAGGGATGCTGCAATCCCGGTCACTCTAGCGCATTTTAACTGTACCCTCAACTCTGACAGGCTAAATAAATAAATAGTGCTGAACTCATTTTCCTTGCAACCCTTTGCTTTCTTTTGGAGAAAGAAAAGCAGGCCCTCAATTAGAGGCATGATTCTGAAAGGCTTGAAACCCAAGCCTTGTTTGTGGGTTTGTTTGTTTTATTTCCTGGAGAGACGGTGTCTATTGCATTTGCAAAAGGGACTCGGAAACTGTCGCTCGCGGCAGAAATTAGGAACGGACTTTGACTTTCTGGAGCTCATTAGCCAAGCCAACGTGCCCTGAAAAAAGGGCAACTAGAAACGTGGGTGAAAAAGGCCCTCCGGGAATCATGACATATTTCTGGCTGATTTGAGTCTGTTCCTCTCTTGTTGGGATGACAACTTCCTAAATCCATGATGGTGCAGGGATGA